CCCCCGCCCCCTCCGCCGGCGTTACCCAACGGCAGCGGCGGGCGGGCAGCGCTACCCAAGGATCACGGCAGCCCCGGGGGGGCCCGCTTTGACGGTAACCGTAGCCCCCGCCGCACCGAAGCCCCTCGCTCCCCGCGGGCGGAGAGGATAAACCGCTGAAACCGGCGAGCGCTCGTCACCGCGGGAGCCGCCGCACGGCCCTGCGTCCTTACGGGAGCGATTCCAGTCACGGTTAGCGGCGCGCTGCCGCTGGGGCCGGGACGGTGACACGCCGGGCAGCGGCAGGCGGGAGCGCCGCAGGGGGTAGCCGGTCCTCCCGGCCACCGGACTGCCCCCGCACCACCGGACGGCTTCCCCCAGACCCCCGAGCCACCCCCCCGTCACCGGATCGCCCCCCCCAGGTCCCCGGACGGCCCCACCGGTCGCCGTACCTGGGGGGCGGGGCCGCGCACGAGGGTCGACACGGCGCCCGCGCAGCCGGACTGCCAGCCAATCAGCGGCCAGGAGGGGCGGGGCCCGGCTGCGGCCTCTCCCTTTGGCTGAGTCGCGCGTCACTCAAGGTTCACCCTACCCCGCCCCTCACCTCAGCGCCCGACTGAGGGTCCGCGTCCTTCCCGGCTCTGCCGCGCGGGCCCGGCTGGCAGCGACGCCGGAGGTCACCGGGAGCCCCGCCGGGCCTCGGCCCGCTCAGCAGTCCCGGGATTCCTTCCACATCGCCCGCCGAGCGGCCGGGGGGGTGCGGTAGAGTGGGAGGGGGCAGCAAGGGGGCGGTGCGCATGCGCACGGCGCCTCGAGGCTGGGCGAGGAGCGTCGGTTGGACCGCGCGGGGGCACGGTGCGCACGCGCAGTGCCGGCTGGGTCGGTGCGCAGGCGCGAAGGTGCCGGGCGGAGCGCGGCGCTCTGGCGCCCCCTGCCGGCCGCGGCGGGGTCAGCTCGGGCCTCCGCTCTCACCGCGCCCTGCGGGCATACCCTGCCGCTGACACGGCCGCAAACCCCTCACAGCCGTCCGGGACTAACGTGGGGTGGTTTGTGTCTCCACAATGCTCAGGGAGCCGTGGCGGAGCTGTGAGGGGAGATTTATGCGCGTAGTGCCGTAACAGTGAAAGCGACTGTGGCAGCCGGGGCCTGCCCCGCCGTTAACAACTGGCTACCCATCCCTCTGCAAGGCTGCGGGGAAGATTATGCAGCACTTGGAGTCGATAACGCCGCTAAGCAAAGGGCACTTTCTCCTCACAGCATCGAGAAACCTAGCCGGTCTTACCAGGCGGTGGAAGCCGCCTTCCCCGGGCCAAGCAGTCAGAAGGGCTGAATTGAGGAGCAGCCGCTGGAAGCCGGGCAGCGGACACTGATACAGCCACAGTACCGCAGCCGGCTCCGGTAGGCTCCTGCCCGGCCGCACCGGCTGACACTGACTCCGGGGACCCGCCCACCAGCCGCTGATAGGCCGCCCAGAATGACACTCAAAGCACTGCCTTTTCTGATTGGTCTATTGTGTCCCGCTGTGCTTATGGGAGTTGTGGTTCGCTTCTCTCCCGGGCATTGTGGCGCTGTGCGAGCACGTACTACATTTCCCGTCAGGCTATGCCGTGAGAGCGCAACTGCGCTGCTCGGGGTCTGCTTATCCGGGTCCTCAAGAAGTCCAGCCAATCAGCGCGCCTCAAAGGGCGTGTGCCAGGCGCTGATTGGTGGGTTCGGACTGCCGAGCCCTGTTTGAAATCCGTTAACGGCGGTGGCAGAGGCGCCGCGCGGAGTGGCGGCGGCGCTGCTGAGGTGAGTGCGGGGTCCCGGCCGGACACCCCCGGCCTCGCCTTCCTTTCCCCGACCCGCAACCCTTCCCCGTATCTGGTTGTTCGCTCCGGCCCTGGCGACGCGGCTGTTCCCTGGGCCTACTCCGAGCCCAGGTATTGGTAACGGGGCCGAGGGCTCGGCCGGGGAGCGGAGGCGGAAGGCGGCTCCGGCCGCTCAGCCCGTGGTCGGAGCCGCTATCGCGGCGCCTGGCGGGCGGGCTCGAAACGGAGCCCCGGGGCTTGAGTGCGAACCCCTCGTTCCCCGGGGAAGCCGGACCGGAGCCCCCGGCCGGCCGCGGAGGAGCCGCCGTGGCGGGGGGGGTCCCGCTCCCCGGGGGGATCGCGGTACCGGAGCGCCTTACGGTGGGGTGGGTGCCTCGGCAGTGAAATAAAGTTCTAAGTCTTTAAACAATCACGAAATCCGATGAAACAGTGTATATCACGACAGGAAGCTCTGAAACTTCTTCTCGGTCCAAATCCCGCTTCCCAGGAAAAGGAGGGAAGCAAACCAGGCAAAACCTGGCCCAAGTAACAGAAAAAACATTGGGGGCTATTTTTATGCGGGGCTTTTTTTAAGCTAGAGGACCTTCAACTTAATGTAACAATTAGTTGAGGCTCTGCTAGCTAAAAATAATTTTATTTTCCTTGAACATCTATTCTTAGAATGTCCCATCTTCATGTCTTCTAAAACCTGTGGGATCTTTTTTAGGGAGCCGGAGATGTCAGGGCTGTTTATTTTTGGGATGGGGGCGGGTCTGGGCCGTTAGCTGAGCGAAGGCTGTGCCAGCACTTTGCCCCTGCTTTGCTGCCGCTCGGGGTGGTCTGCGGAGCTTTCTGCAGGCTCAGCTCTCACCTGGGGACAGTTAAAGGCTTTGTGTCCCAGTCTGGGCATTAAATGGTGGAACAGCGGCGTTTTGGGGGATGGTGGATCCGTTGTTGATTCTGTGCTGCAGAAAAGCCCGATGAACTCTGAGTCAGGGGAATGAGAGAGGAGGGAGAAGCTGTAGATCCAGAGTGTGTTGGAAGTGTTCACTGGACCCTGCTCAGGGAAAAGCAAGGATGAAGGGTGACTTTCTGAGGCTGTCAGTGTCATGCAGAGGGAGTTCAGGTGATGGCTTTGTGGTGGGATGGTTCTCACCAGGCTGTTGTGACAGGACTGTAGCTTCAGAGATGCTCTAACTTACGTGTTAACCCTTTTCTAATGCTCCAACTTACATGTTAACCCCTGAAAAGCATCCAGGACCTTTGGATTATTATCCCACTAAAAAGAACCGAAGCTGCCAGGGTGAATTAAAGCTGCCTGGTTACTGCAGCATCCTATGTTTAAGTGGCAGCTGGTGTTGAAGCCCAGCATCAGGCCCTGGAATTGCTGGAGCACATTCCCATGCAGCTGCCTCAGCCTTGGGGAAGCTTCTCTTGCTTGTTCCTTGTTGCCTGTCTTGGGTTCCTGAGGCATGTGGATCAGCTGGCTTTGTGTTTATCTGCTGGTGTAACTCAGAATAGCCTCTTGTGTGTCTGTTGTTGTTTACTTTGCTTTCTGATCCTGGTAGGATTTGCCATTTGCACATTTGTAACTTGTGAAGCACCAGTGGTGTGTTGTGATAAGGCATCATCTCCAGTTCACCAGGGCCTTATCCACATTGCAAGGTGGCAAGAAAGAGCAGATGTCTCTGCCTTCCTCAGGATCCAGACTGGTTTGGGTTGGAAGGGACCTTAAAGCTCATCTTGTTCCAACTCCCCATCACCCTTCTGGGCAGAGACACCTTCCACTGGACCAGCCCTGTCCAACCTGGCCTTCAACACTTCCAGGGACTGGGCAGCCACAGCTTCTCTGGGCAGCCCTTGCCAGAGCCTTACCACCCTTACAGGGAAGATTTTCTGCCTAATATCCAATCGAAATCTCTCCTCTTTTAGTTTGAAGCCATTCCCACTTGTCCTATCACAACCTTTCTTTGTCCCTATCCTGTCATTGCTACTCTCCCACACTGCTCCATTCTCTCTCCCTCTGGCCTTGATTTCTCATCTTGGAATGCTGCATTCTACCTCCAACACCATGGCCTGAATGGCTGGAAGCTTCTTTGTCCAGGCAAATTGTGCTGTTGGCACAAAATTCCCAACTACATTAAGACAAAGACACTGAACACATCTGTGATGGAATTGTGTCAGTATTTTAAAGCTAATTTGGATTAGAGCGAGGTGTGAAGTTATTCCAAAATACCTATTGCACTTGCTGTTGGATCAGTCTTATTCTGGGATAGGAATGCTTGTTCCAATTTAGTGTAATCCTTTTTCAAAGCTAACTAATCTAAACCATGCCAAGGCACTCTTCTGGAACGTGCCAAAGTGTAGTTACCCAAAAGAAGCCTGATGTCCAGAGGAGCCCACTGCCTCTTCCTCCCTGTGCGCACGGCTGTGCTGCTCTGGAGGCACGTTTAGGTCAGCGGGAGAGCAGACCCAGAAAGCAAATAAAGGTTTTAATTAAGTAGTCACTTTCTAGAAGGAATTTGGGGTCTTTTTACAGAAGATCAGGTCCTCCTTTCCTGCCTCGGCAGCTCTGCAGAGCAGGTGAAAGCTGATCCTGCAGCACAGGGGTGAGGGTTCCCCGGCTGGCTCGCTGCAGACACCCGTGTCGACACAGGAGGTGATGGATGTGGGGGAGAGCAGGGGCATGCTTGAAATCCACGCCGAGCTGTGTAGGATTACAGCGTGCCTGTAATCACGCCTGGGAAATGCACACAGCGCCTGCTAATTAGGGAACGTCCCTATTAATGAGGAAAAATTTCTACGCCTCCCATCCAGTGGATGAATGCTGCGGTGGAGAGAAAGAATTTTGGATTGAGATAAATGTGGCCGTGCTGTCGGAATCACGACCGGGTGTTTTAAAATGCCTGCGGGGGGTGGGCAGCGGGTGTTGGGCTGTGCTTGGCAGAGCCTGTTGGGATTGCAGGTGCCTCTTGGTGGGCACAGGGGTGATAAATCACCAGAGCATTCCTGGCTGATCCCTGTCCCAGCCCGAGTGGGTGGGCGGAGGAGCAGGGTGCCTCTCAGTGAGCTGCTTCACCATCAGTCCTGTTCCAGGCAGGACTTGGAGGATATGTAGGGATTTGAGAAGCAGATGCCATGAGTTCATCTGACTGAAATGGACTTTCTGGAGTTCAGTCACAATAACTTCTATCTTCCTGTTGTCTCTTTCATGAAACTGAGGCAGTGATACAATCCTTTCCTTTTCCTGACTATTCTCTTCTGCCTGGGATAGAGGGGGGAGAAGGGGTCGATGATAAGGGGGTGACACTATGGAATATGGGCTCTACTCAGTAAAAAGCTGCGAACTGCAGCAACGTAGCAGTGGGCACAAGTAGCTGTGAAACATGATGCCCAGAGCTCTGACTCTGGCTGGAGAGGGTGAGGGGAGAATGCAGATGACGCATTTGATTTTTAAAAAAGTCTAAAGTGTTGACAGAAATTCTATCTTGATTAAGGGCAGTAGGAAAGCATTTGATTCCAGCCGTGTCTCGAGCTCAGTTACAGTTGGTTTTGGCTCTAATTCTTCTGTTTGCCTTCTTTGGGCCATACCTTGACATCTTCCCAGCCATGTAGCTGGTGCTTCTCTAATGACATTCTTGCCTTTAACTATCACAGCTCTGCTCTGGGGAGCTGGAGGCTTCTCAGTGCACCCATCCTCGGGGGCCAGTGCTTGTGACCAGCATGGTACCCCCTAAACGCTGCTTTGCTTTACTCTTGACCATTTTCTTATTTATTGAGGAACATCATCTGGGTTTTGAACCATGTGTGGTCTGCCTAGACAGATGGTTTAGGGCTGAGGCTCTGTGGGTTAGGAATATACTGCTTTGGAATTGCTTGGATTCATAAAAGCAAAGTTCAGGTGATTTCCTTGGGGAGTGTTTTATAACATCCTCGTGGGCTTTGCCTCACATCTGTTCAAGGCATCACAAAAGCACCTTTGCAAGAAGGTTTTGTATAATTTCAGGGTTTATAACTTTGTCACTGGCTTTATTCCTGTTCTGTTGAGTTTAATATCACCTGTTGACACAGGGACTCCTCTTGCTGTCAGTGCTTCATTAATTAACTGCAGGGACTGTTTGACATGGGTCACAGTGCTCAGTTTGTTTTTAGCCTGGCGAGCCTTGGGCTAGTGCTAAGGAATGCAAGAGGGCCTGACACTGCCCTCCTTCTGACTGTTTGCCCAGTTACAGTGTTCTACAGAACCCCTTCCTGCTTTGAAAATCAATTATGTAGAAGAGCACCTTTGTGTCACTAGTTCTTTTTTGTAGCCCTTCAGGGAAAGAGGCTGTGCATTGCAGTGCTCTGGAGTGAATCTCATCAGATTTGTGAATCTTGTGAGGGTAAGAACTCTTCTTTGTGTGTGGTGAGGGAAGGAAGTGGAAATCAGTCACTCTCTGGAAAAGCTTTATACTTTACTCCTTAAAAAATACAATTCTGGCACCTGCAAGTACAAAAAAAAATCCCATCAAAACTTGATCTTTCAGATAGTTTTGAACCTGCAAATGTCAACAGTGGTGAAATATCCTTAGCTTTGCAGATCAGCAGTAGAATAAAACTCTGCATTGCTCATGAGGAGTTCTGCCCCAAGAGGGGATGTTCCAAAGGCTGTCCCAGTGCCTGTCCCTAGAAACTCTGCAGAGGAAGAGAGGTGGGGGATGGTTCCACTGATTCCCTGTTGTTGTCTAAAGGGCTGTAGCAGTGCAGACAGAGGACTCTTGGGGACAGTGTGACTGTGAAGATGTCTAAGCCAGAATCCCGTTATTCTTTTGATGTCCCAAACATCTGCATCGATTTTGCAACTCTGAATGAGGATGATGTGCACAATGCAGACTCCTGGTTTGGTAAGTTGCTTCCAACTCCTTGAGGTGTTTCCTTGTTGGATGACACCTTGGTGTGATCCTTGTTTTGGGCCTGGCTTCTGTGCCTATTAATCATGGTGTTAACTGCATAATTCGTCATGCATGAGGTTTCTTGTGTTGTTTTTTTGTATTTAAATGTTGTCTTCTGTAACTTGCCTTTCTTAACCTCATAATGATATTCTGGGGTATTGTTAACAATTCCTGACAATGTGTATAGTGAAAATCTTTCTCTCCTTACAGATGAAAAAGCCAATCTGGAGAATATCCCTCCTGCAGAAAATCTGGCAAACGTCTCACACTGCAGCCCTGGTTCTTCAAAGCCTGATGTTCTTCTGCCTTCTGTCCCTTCACAAGAAGTAGCAATGAGTAAGCTGGCATGGTGTGGCAGGGAGGGAATAAATTTTACCTGCTTTTCACTGACAAAATAGAAAGGCCTCTGTCTGGCTTTTGTGGGGCCATCTTCATAAACTCTTATCTGCAAGGTCTTTTTTTAAAATGTGTTTTTACTTGTTGTTCTGTATATGTGTGTACAGATGAGCTGACCCTTGCCCCTTTCTCAGGTGAAAGCAATGGTGAGGCAGAATGTGCCCAGGACAACACGGTCCCTCAGAATATCGTTGGGTCCCTGGCAACCTGGAGAGCTGCTGCCCCTGCAGAGGCCCCTCAGAGGTGAAATTTTGTGTTCAGTTTGTGCAATGATTGATGATGGTGTAACTAAGCAGGTCCTTGCTCTCAGGATCTGCAGTTCTAAGCTGTTCTTGGGGCATCCTGTGGGGCTGGAGTTCTCCAACATGGAGATGGTGCACTGGGACATCTGATCTGCTGGCTGGGCTGGAGGGGCAGTCTCTAGGGTGGAAATGTAATGCAGTGTCTCACATACTTGTCAAATGAGACTCGGCAGCACCAGGAGCTTCTGGAATGTGAGGATATCTGAAACTGAGGTGGCTTATAGAGTTTCTTTGTTTATATCTGCCTGACTTGGGCAGAACTCATTCTTGATATGAATGCAAGCTCTGCATGCTCATAAATAGCAAAGAATATTTAGTTTATGCATTGTTAAATTTTAATCAATCACGCTGTTGTTTGGGTTGTTGTGTTAAACACAATTTGTGTGGTAGAGTTAGGGGATGCACTGGCATAAATGTGTTATCCAGGTCAGGTGTGTCCTCAGATCTATGGGAAAACTGACTTCTGCTTTCTGTTCTACTCTAGACCAGGCAGGAGACTTGCTACAAAGCAGGGGAAGACCCAGCAGCGCAAGCAGCCAGGCAGAATCAAAGCAGAGAGAATTGCTAATGCCCTGGATAATAAGGAAGATGTTCCACCCTTGAAGAAAATGAGACTGTATGTCATCCAAGTCCTTCTGTTTAGGGCTGGGAAAAGGGACACAACTACTTCTTTGGAAAGGGCTTCTGCCTGTCTGAGACAGTTCTTACAGGAAGGTTAGGGGGTAGTGACTGGAACTGGTTGCTGATACTGGTTTCATGAACAAGAAATGGCTGTAAATGCTGAAGGAATTGCTCTGTTTGCAGGTGAAGATGTGAATTAAGTAAGCATGGGCTTCTTCACCTTCTTACTCAGTGTCTGTCAGCTTTAAATTTGTCTGAACTTATCCATCCAGAAATCATCAGGCAATCATTAGCTATGAAAGAGTCACAGCTAAAATATTTCTCAAATTAACTTAACCACTAAAGTATCATATGGTGATAAGCTTGAGGTCAGGAAATTGAAGTATGATCTTTGAAACACTGCTGTATCTCAGTGATCTACAGTGTACCTCCCTTCTCCAGAAAAGTTCCAAAAACTCAGTAATTCATCTTCCCTTCTGCAGCCTTAGAGTACCAGAGAAAGCTGGATGGTCTGTACCTGGGCCTGGGGTGAGGTAAGGCCAGCCTGGCATACCTTAGACCTCACCAGGTGTTGGGATGTTATGCATGGTGGTGAGAGCTGCAGGTGGTAATTTATTTAGAACACAGTTCTAAATAAACAACTAACAACTTTTTCTCCTAGTTCTGGTAGCAGAGAGAAGGCAACAGAAGTATCCACAAAGAAAGAGCCCCTGCAGGATCCTGACCTCTCTCCAGGGAGAGGGAAAAGCAAACAGACCATGCCCTCCACGCCAACAATGTTGAAGTACGTGGCTTTCTTGTGACTTGTGTGCTAATCACAGTTGATTTAGGTGACAGTCCTGGCTGAGTGTTTTCAGCTTCAACTTAGCATGTGATGGTATCACATTTAGTAAACACTGGGTCAAGGCAACAATATTAGGATGAAATGTACTTCACCAGCTGAACCTCTGCACAGGAAAGCTTTTGCTTTTCTTTTGAGGAAAAAGTTGTTCTTCCTAATGGATCAAGAATTCACACAGCAAATGGGTCTGCAGAATATAGCAGCTAGCTGTGAGATTTCTTGAACAAACAAAACCCAAGCAGATCTCTTCTAAAGATGTTTTTATAACTGGTGATGCTCCTGCAGTGAGGCTGGAGATAAGCCACAAACATCATGCTAATAACCAGGGAAGCAGAAAGGTATATCTTAGTTTTTAATGTGCTTATGCAGGAGGACCAAACCTTCTAGCAAGCCAAAGAGTACAGAGGAGCAGGAGCTGGAAAAGATGCAGCAGTTGCAGCAGGAGGTTATGGAGCTGCGGAAGAAGAACGAGGAGTCTCTGAAAACAGCTATTGCTGGAGCAGGTGGGCTCTGCCTGAACTGCTGAGTGAAGCTGCATTGGGCTCAGCTGGAGAGTGCTGCACAGAGCTGTGCAAGCACCTTTGAAAACAAGCATTTCATACTTTGCAATAAATATTAGGAGCCATTTAATGTAGATCAGCCCCTAAACTGCCTGGAAACAGGTGGGTTTGGGTTATGTCATGTTTTGAAATGTTAAAGACGAGTTCTCTAAAAATTTACCTAGTTGTTAGAAATTAAATGTTTTGGTTTTTTTTTTTATTTCCACAAATCGTACCCCACAGCAAAAGTCTTCCAGTCCTTACATGTCTGTTTTCTCTAGGACAACCCACAAAGAAACCTGCTGGTCAAGTAACAAAGCCAATTAATTTCCACTTCTGCACGAAGGATAGGATTAAACAGAATGCAGAAAGCCAGCCTGGGAACGAGTACAAGGAGCTGGATTTTGCAGCAGTCCTGAGGAAGCATCCTCCTTCTCCGGTGAGAGCCAGAGTGTTGCCAGCACTCAGCTCACTGATTCTTGCCATCACCTCCCTGCTGCTTGTGCAATGCTTGGGCTGATACCCACAGAGAGGTTACCACAGGAGGCAGGTGCTGTGCAGATGTGACTGCAGACTTCCTGTGTGTCTGTGTTGCCACAAGACTCCAAAGAAACCTTGTGGAAAAAGCCCTTTAATGTCAGATCGTCCAGTCGTTCCACTTTGTGCTTTAATCTGCTCGATAGTTTCCCAATATAACTTGTGCATTTTCAGACAGTTAACACTTGTGCTTAATGTGAGGTGTTATCTTCTTTGCAGTGAGAGGAAGGGACAGATACTGTGTGTCAGTGGGGAAGGGAAATGTCATCAAAACCTCCTGGCCATACTGACTGTGGTTTTCTGTCTCCAGGTGCGAATGCCAAAGGGACACACTGTCCCCAAACCTTTCAGTCTGTCCCAGGGAAACAAAAGAAAACTTGAAGAAGCCACAACAGGATATGTGTCCTTTGCTGAGCAGGTAGAAGCATTCCAAAAACGCACACCCCCTCGTTACCATTTGAGGAGCAGGAAATCTGAGGAAGGTGAGTTGTCCTGGCCGTGTCCACAGACATTGCTGGTAGAGCAAGAGATGCTTTGACAACTCTGAGCAAATGGCCTGTGTCTGTTGCCTTGCCATTAACTGCTGGTCTCTGTGACTTGAAATTGTAGGCTCAGTTTCAAGAAAGCCGGTGAAGGCTCGGCCCACAAACCCCAAAACACCAGTGCTGAGAACAAAGCAGCGCTTGAGACCTGTCACCTGCAAAACTGCTGCAGAGTTAGAAGCAGAGGAAGTAGAGAAAATTCAACAGTAAGTAAGGGCTTACTCTAGTCCTCCAGGGGATGATTGTACCACTCTGGAAGTATTTTTCAGGTACCAAAATGTCACTTTTCTGGAATATCCTTTTTGTGTGAAAGAATGAGTAGCATACACCATTGAGATTCCTTTAGGTTGTTCATAATTCTTTAGCTCTGATTGTAGGGGAGTGAAATATAAACAATTAATTTTGAAGAATGTGCTCTTAGGAGAGCTGATCTTGGGTTGAGTACAGCTTATGATGAGTAAAGCAAACCCAATATAGCAATGCAGCCTGCACACACTTCCAAACTTGCCTGTAGGCAAAGGTTTGGATTTCTAGGAAAACAATCCATAAGACTTTCCTTATTAATCTTGCTGTTTTGAAGGCAAAGGAAGAATTGCTAACTAGAGCTGCACACTAACATACAATGTACAACTGGTGACTGTCTCCATTATTCCTGCATAGGTACAAATTCAAAGCACGAGAAGTCAATCACAAAATCTTTGAGGGTGGGCCACTCCTGCCCAAGAAGCCCCCTCTGAAGAAGCTCACTCAACCCATTGGCTTTCAGCTGGAAATAGAAAAAAGGATTCAGGAGCGTGAGAGTAAGAAGCAGCAGGAGGAAGAGCGCTTCGAATTCCATTCCAGGCCATGTCCCACAAAAATCCTGGAGGATGTTGTGGTAAGAAGTTTAATGTCACCCAGGCTTAGGAATTGGTTGCAATGAGCTTCAAAATGTTTGTAGCTATGTTGCATTATGTGTTTAATGATCTCAGTAAACAGTGTCTGTCATTAGGTAAGAACCTCAGTAGGTACATCCTGTGCTGTCAGGTTGTTTCTCTGAGGCGTTTTCTTGGCACTTGGCCTTGGGTAACTCCTTACTGGCTTTTCTGAACAGGGTGTTCCAGAGAAGAAAGCACTTCCTGTTACAGTCCCCAAGTCTCCAGCCTTCACCTTGAGAAGCAGGACCCGTGTGTCTGGCAGAGAGGAGGAAAAGGTAACAGTTGTGACAAGGCTGGAGCCAGGCCCAGTTCTCACTGTGGTGCCTGCTGTGCCACTGGATGTGGGTGGGATGCTCTGGGGCTGGAAGCTCCTTCCTTCCCTCCTGTGAGCAGTTCCTCCAGTGGTTATCTTTGTCTGTGCTCTTCACTTGAAACAATCTGGTTATTGCTACTCATTTTACAGAAACTGAATTCTCATTAAAAATGAAATAATTTCAATGCTAGGGCACTGATGAGGGTTTCTGAGGTGTTGCTGCTATAAATGAGGAAGGTGAACTGCTTGTATTTCTCATTTTTTCCTATTCTGTCACTAAGGCAGATATTACACATGACCTTTCTTCTCTCTGAGGTGGGGAGCACGATTCTGAAAGCTTCACATACTTCTTCCTTTCCTCCTTGTCAGGAGGATCTTAATTACACTCTGATTTATTCAAATCATTCGAGTACTAGAATTGACAGTGGTTTCAAAAAAAGGAAGAATTGGGCCTGTGGTTCAGGATGCCAGTAAATTGGTGCTTCTTGGATTCCTAATTTTTGCAGTGTCCACTGTTTGTATGACCCTGCTGTGCCCCTTATCAAAGGAGCTCAATCAGAGCTCTTTGTGGCTTTGCTTGGCAGGATTTGCAGCCTATACAAAAGTAAAAAATCAGCTCCTAATGCTAATATCCTTTTAGGAAAAAGAGGAGGTGGCTGTGATCAAAGCTAATCCTATGCCACATTATGGAGTGCCCTTCAAACCCAAAATGCCAGAGCAGAGGCACGTGGAAGTTTGCCCCTTCTCTTTCGATGCCCGGGACAGAGAGCGACAAATACAAAAAGAGAAAAAAATAGAAGAACTACAGAAGGAAGAGGTAAGAATTAAAAGCTACCTCGGATTCCACTCCTTCAGTAAAAAGAGTGTGATAGGATTTGCTGTTGTCTATTAAACTTCCAGGGAAAGGACAAGAAATATTTTGAGTTGTTTATTTCAGGTGCCAAAGTTCAAAGCGCTGCCTCTGCCTTACTTTGATGAAGTTAAACTGCCAGAGAAGAAGGTCAAAACCCCAACTCAGCCTGAACCATTCCATCTGCAGGTGGATGAACGGGGAGCTGCCAAGCTCCAGAGCTGGAAACAGCAGGTAGGATGAAAAGGGTAATGGGAATGACCAGACTTAAATCAGCTGGTGGAGTTGTGGTTGACTAGAGAAACTGTCCTCCTTGAAGTGAATCAGTAGCTGAGTTGGAGCAAGGAATTTTTCTGTACTTGGCATGAGACTTATGCTATTGGGTTAAGGATTGGTCAATGGTTTGTTTTTATTTTTCTCACGTAATGGTAAATTATGGGATTTACCACAATTGTATGAACAGCTGTGGGGCATTTTCTAAGCAGCAGCTCTGTGCAGCTGAATCTCTTTGCTGGCTATTGACAAAAAAAATAATACACTGCTTTTCTCATGTGAAGTCTGCAGTGGACACCTGAAACTTTCTTCAGGCTATTTTTTGGCAAAGCAACTATCGTGCAACAAGTGACACCAATTTTTTGCTTTAATATAGTTTTCTATGGAAATTATTTGACTGAGTCAGCATGGGTTTTCCAGCATAGGGAGTGCTGGAGTCTGGGTCAGGGGGGAGATGGTCTCTTTCTGCCTGGCACTTGACATGCTCTCTTCTCTTGCAGCTTGAAGAAGACTTGAAAAGGCAGAAAGAGGCAGCATGTTTTAAAGCTCGCCCCAACACAGTGATGTACCAGGAGCCTTTTGTGCCCAAAAAGGAACATAGGATACTCTCAGGTAGAGTTGCAAGTACTGCTACATGGGCTTGGCTGATAGTTCAGAACTGAGGCAATTAAGTGATGTTTTTCTGGCTGTTGCCTCTTCTTCATCAGCACAGCCAATAGAGCCTTGCATTTAATCAACTAATTGCCTAACAGCTTGTGTCCCCTGGGAGCAGGGGGATTTCCTCTCCACCCCCTTGCTCTGCTCCAGCATGGCAGCTGTATTTAGAAGCTCTGCTGCAATTGGCAGATGATTGATGTGTGCCAGCTCAGGATAAGGGTACTGAGAATGTGAGGAGCTCCCTGCAGAGACAGCTGGCATTTCTGCAGTGCTGTCACTCTTTCCCTCCCGTTTCTAGTGAGATGAAGGCATTTGCTGCTTGGGTAGGCTGAGATTTGTAGAGCATAAAACCAGCCAAAAGCTTGTTTGTACTAACAATTGTGTGCTTGCTCCCTCCCATGAGAACACCCATGACGGGGTGACGTCTGCATTAACACTGCTCACGTCTGGGAGTAAAGTTTTCTCTTTTCCTGAAGCCTGGAGGTATCTCCTAACCACCCTTGCCAAGGGGAAGCTCTCCAAAGGGAGGCTTCCGTTGACTTTAGTGCTGCTCTTCTTTACCTGACTGTCTTTGAACCAATGTTATCTCCTCTATTTCTAAACTTAGAGAGCCTTTCTGGTTCTGTAGTTCCTGAAAGCTTTGAGCTGGCAACAGAAAGAAGAGCAAAAGAACGGCAAGAATTTGAAAAGCGATTGGCAGACGCAGAAGCCTTAAGGGAGAGGTATGAGGAGAAGATCAGGCAGGAACAAGAGGAGCGTGAAAAGGAAGAAGTTGCTAAGCTAAGACAAGAAATGGTAAGTGAGCTGTTTCTGAGCAAGGGCTATAAAGTAACCCAAAGGAATGTGGGATTATCCTTATGGAGCTAATGTCACAGTTGAGCTGTGCTTAAACTGCCTTTTCAAGGTTCCCTTTTGCAAATTGATGACTCACTAACTTCACAACTGCTTTTAAAAAACCAAACCTACAAAACCATGCAAACAAAGAAGGCAGCTGTGCTGAGATGGCTGAGTTTTGGAGCTGCACATGTGTAGTTATCAAAGCAGAATGATCTTAGTAAAACTCACAACCCTAACGTGTGCTGTGCATTTTCCCACTATCTTGCTCCAGTGCCCAGGGTAGAGTGTGGTGGTCTCAGGCAGACGCCTGCCTTCACCTCATCTACAGCTCACCTGCAAATTTCAGCTTCATCATAACTGCAACCATTTGCTTTGTTTTGCCCTTGCTTGTATTTATTTTTCCACAGGTTCACAAGGCAAACCCAATACGCAAATACCGCAGCCTAGAGGTGCAGTCCAGTCACCAACCACTGACTGTGCCAAAGTCTCCCAACTTCTCAGACAGATTCCGATGCTGATGAGCATCCACGTGACAACTGCTGGGAGATCCCATCCCTCTCCATTCCCTTGGCAGGAGAGAGGGAGCAATTGTTTTTCCATGACTGCTCAGTTTGAACTCCTATGCTTGGTTTCATTGTTGTACTGAGTAGTTAAACTCCACCTGAGCCCATGGCATTTCAGCAGTGCCTCCTGGCCTTGCTGTGTATCCAGACCCTATCTTCTCTAGAGACTAAACCAAGTTTTGATCTTGCATACAGATATTGTGTACTTAACTAAATAAAAATTCCTAATCTGCTCGCTGTCTCTGGCTAGTGGGCTGAAGCCCTTTCCTGCAGAAGAGTTTTTGATAAAGACTGGCCACACAGATGTGTGCATCTGGCAGAGCTGTCTTGTGTTTTTACACTAAGTGCTATTTTCAAGTGTCTATTTTTTAGCATTTTGGTCTACATTTAGCTTGAATTGTGTTAAGTGAGGTTCCTTCAAGCCAGTGTAGCGCGGGTCTGGCCTTCCTTGTTGATGTTTAGATGACCACAAATATAAATCTTGCCCACGCTTAAAAGTAGTTCTTTGTGTATATTAGAGTATTAAACCGTCTTGATGTTTTATACCTGAAGTCCTGTTTGGGGAACCATTTATCTGGCAAGTGGCTTGCTGTGAGCTGCTGCCCCAGCTGCTGCCAGTGTAGGTCTCTTGGCTACAGAGCCATCAGCATCTCTGGCTAGTTTGGGCAGCAAGCAGAGCTAAACATAGCTCGAGTGCTCAAATGTGCTGGAGGACAAAACTGCTGGCATTATGAAGAGTGGACACATCTAGATTAAAGTTTTAACAATTATTTCTTACTTAATAGTGTGCTCTGATTTCTTACCTTTATATTTTGCTGAAATACCTGCTCACATCCATGAGCAGGGCTACTTGTGTTACTTAGTAGAGAGGGGGGAAAAGGGAAATTTAGAATTAATTTGTCCTAACTGGACAAACTTTCTTGTTTGTTGGTTATGGAAAACATTTGCTTTCATTTCTTCTGAACTGGGATGCTGTTGAAGTATTTCCAGCCTGTGTAGCTTTTGTTCAGGTTTTTGGGTGAAAAAGAGAGTTCAAACTAGATGTTAGATTCCACCTAAGGGGGTGCTTAGAGATGCTGTCTCATTCTTGCCAAAGTGCATCAAGCAATTGCTATTTTACTCCTAGACTGAAAGAAGTAACAGAGGAAGAAAGTCCTTAGAAACCTAAATTCCAAGATGAACGTTTATTAGACCCAAGGGATGATGTTTCTGCAGGAATTCTCCTAAAAAGTGTGATGCTCAAGAGATGTCATTGCAGAACAGCTGGAGTCTCTATGGGAGTGTTTCCAAGAGCACCAGCCTCAAACTTCAGTGCTGGGATTAAAAGAGGAAAAGCCACCCACACTGAAATACAAAGAATCTTCAAAAAAATTAATGGTTTTATGCAGTTAGTAAGTGAGGAGCTGGAGAATGAGAGGCTTGGGGGAAGTAGGTTGGTACTGGAGGATGAATGACCCAGTGGCAGTGTGGGTTCTTGGCAATGGTGAGCTCAGACATGGCTCCATTTTGCTCAAGTTTCAGCTTGTCCTTCCCTTCTCTTGAGGATCTTTGTGTAGCTGTGGCAGAGGTTGACCCAAAAGCTTGATCTCATCACCCAGTCTGCCTTCAGCCACGTTTTTCTGACTTTGCTGATAACCCCGTGTCACTAAGCTGAGTTACAGGACAGCCAGAAAAAAACTGCTGTCACTGCTGCTGTGACAGCAGCAAATGTGGCTGGAGCACAAGGAACATTCAGCATCCTCTTCTTGAAAATGAAAAGCCATGAGGATCTGACCTGTCTGCCTTAACCCCATTTCTGTCATGGTGGGGTTGTTCCCTGTGATCTGCTGCTGGCTGGGGACATCACGGAACCTCAGATGTTTTTCCCTCGAGTGCCAGCTCTGGAGAAGGCAGCTTGTGGGCAGCAGAAGCAGCAAATACTTATGATGAGTCAGGGGAAGCTGGAATGATGATGAGCTGCTGAAGAATGTGAAGGCAAGCAGGATCATGAGGCCGTGGAACTGGAGCAGCCACTGATCCCTGAAGGATGAAGCAGCTGGATTTCCCTGATGGCCCTACATGGCCTCTTCTGCCTTGAGGAAGGGGTTGTGTGCCTGAAAGCTTGGCAGTATTTTTTCCCCAATGGTATCATTTGGGTCTAAGAAAAGACATTACATCTTCCCCCAGACATGGCCTCTTGTATTCCCCATGCACTGCAAACAGGGGCTGGAGCCTCAGGCAGCTGTGCCTCCAAGGGTCTGGGGTGTTTGGATGAGCTTGGAGTCACCCACCAGGTTCTCACGGGCTGGGGTGTGGGACCTGTCCTCTTAGTTAGGAGGGAAGTGCTGACATGGTGGGAAAACTGCTCTAGTGTACAAAGTATAAAAATTATGTCCTGAAGGAGCTGGATGATGGAGAGGATGGGATTTGGCCAAGGCTTCAGCAGGAAAAGGGTGGCAGGTGATTTTTCTGCTGGGGAGAACAAATGTATAGGATGGGATCAACAGACTGGAATTTAACTAAGTGCTGTTGCAGCACCTCCCTTTAGAGTCAGGGTAGGTTAAGAAACTGATGTAAAATCTATATTCTCTGTGTGTATTTTACAAACACAAATTTTGTATTCCAGTACTCAAAGTTCATCACCCTTACGTGCATGCCTTGAGAGCGAGGATTGGCAGGAGGAGAGTGGAGATCTGGGCACAAAATCTTCCTCTGCTCTTCTAGTTGGGCTGTACTCAATTTGTCATCAAAATAGTTTGCTGAACACAGACTAGGGCTGGAACTTAAAGGCAGCCAATGTTTTCCTGGACTTTCATGTTGATTGCAAGATCAAATTATCTGGTGAATAAATTCTTAAGAAAAGGCTTGATGATGCTTCTCCCTTCTGCCTCCACTGGGAAGCCTTTGCAGCTGCTTGTGTGACCTGGCATGAACCTGGCAAGAACTCCTGGATCTGGGCAGGTCCTGCTGCTGCTGCTGATGGCCACGTCCCTCTGGATGCTCTTTTGATGAGGTTGGGATTTTTCCTTGTTTTTTTCCCCATCACCTTGCTGACGCCTGTCTTGACACCATGGCAGCTCGTGGTGGAAGCCCTGGTTCTGATGGAAGCAGTTAAGCCAGACAGCCCGGCTGGTTTGTGTTTCAGCAGCATGGCTGGGATTCAGGTGGGGATGTTGTTCAGCCTTCCCTGCTGCTCGATTTAGCTGGGGTGTAGGGTTTCCCGGGAATGGGCCGGCTTTGGCCCCGCGGAGCCTCCCTTCCCAGGGTGAACGTAAAGGTTAAAGTGTGCTGCCGCAGTTGTGACAACGGCGTCGCCAGGGAACGGCGTGCTTGAGGCGCTGCCAGATAGCCCCAGGACAGGCTGTTTCCCAGCTGCAGCCAATGTAGGCTCTGGTTTAAGTTCCTGAATGGGAAGGGAGGAAAAAAAAAGCCCAAGCCCAGGCTGAGAAACCTGGGTGGCGGCTGGTTTGCAGAGCCCCAGGGCACTGTGCTGCTCCTTGGGCGTGTGGTTTTGGACCAAGGCATCTGAAATCCTGGAGTGGAACAGATACTGCCCTTCAATTCCACAATTCCTTCTTCCCAAAGGTCTGATTTCAGCCTATTCTCTCTGCCCACAAATGAATTTTATATGTGCTAGTGCCAAGCCATGGTCCCCCACTGCCTGTGGAAGCCACGGCTCCCCAGTATCCGCACCCAGGGCTTTGCTTCCTCGCCTTGTGCCAGGGTTTGTGCCCAGACCAACCTTGCTCCCAGGGAGCGTGAAAGATTGCAAGCATCCTGGGAAGGCAGGCTGGTGTCCAGCTGCTTGCTCCTGCTCTCCTTGGAGAATTTTATCCCAGTGTCCATCACACCAAGAGCTCCAAGGGGGCTGTGGGGCACGGCTCTGGCTCATGGGCTCCTGCCTCATGCTTGGGCATGGATGTGCTCCTTCCACCTCGGGTTTGCCAGGAGGGTGCAGAGCCAAAGGCTGGCGGAGTGGTGGCAGTATGTGCCTGAAGTGACACTGGTGGCCTCCAGGTGCCTGGCAGCCCTCAGCTGGAGGAGAGAGGCAATTCCAAACTGTATGTTGGCGATGACAGTCGATGGGCAGAGGCCCCGCTGGCCAGGCACAGCATCTGGCCAGTTATTGCTGGCTGTGGCCCTGCAGAAGCCAAGGTGGGGGACTCCCACTCATCACAGGAGTGGTGGCTGTGCCAGGGCTGGGCAGAGTGTGCGTGCGTGTCATTGTCACCAAGAACTGCTGGTGATGCTCCAACCTCTGCTTGTACCCAACTGCATCAACACATCAGTGAGCTGGAGCTGTGTGCCTGCTCCTGCATTTTCCCTGCTCGTGCTCATCACATTCTAAGCCCTGCCATGGATTTCAGGAAAGGAGCTGGCCTGGTTGAAGCCACAAATTCCAGCTGTGAAGGCTGGAGCAGGACAGCTCCATATCTGCTCAGGAGGCTCCAGCTGTGTCCCACTGAGCAAGTGTTGCTCTTGCATTGAGGTGTTGATGGTGGGTGCCTCAGGCCAGGGCAGGGACAGGTGGGACAGCAGCACCTCAAGGACAGAGGAACAGCTGTGCTCCCATCCTGGCTTTTCTCAGTTTCAATGCCACACGTGAACCACTGGCAAAGTCTGACCCCAGGCCATGGCACACAGATGCTGGTGGCTCACGGGGAGCTGGGATTTGCCAATGAGCAAAGAACAGCAGCCCTGCCTGAGCAGTGCTGGTCCTCCTGAGAGGTGCTGCAGGCAAAGTGAGCACTGCTCTTGGAGGTCAGCTGCTGCTTGTTGGTTGACTCAGCTCCATCATGGATGGCACTGGCCAGGGCAGCCTCCCCACCTCCTTTGCTGCTGTAGCCTCCAGCCCTGCCACAGGTAAGGTTTAAACTAAGGAGAAAGCAAAGCGAGGTTTAAGCAGCCAGGTTTGGTGTCTGGCAGGACCTGAGCTTGGTGTGGCTGTGGGAGGCAGGACCAGGCTGGCAGCTGGCAGGGGCTGAGGCTGGAGGAGCTCAGGGTAACCTCAGCCTCCCTGGGGGCACCTGGCCAGCCTGGGCCTGGGGAGAGTCACACTCCTCCAGCAAATGCCAGGATTCAGCCTCACACAGTGCCTGAGGTGCAGCACCCCAGAAAGAGCTGGCAATGCCTGTGCAGCACCCATACACAGCACAACCCCTCTGGAGCCTCCAGCTCCTCTGTTTTTCTCCCTGATTCTCAAAACACTTGATTTTGCAGAAAGTCTTTCAGCTGGTTCCCAGGGAAGGCTGCAGCCACCGGCCAGTGCCCAGTTCCCAGCTGCTGTCACCTTCATCAAGGCCCAGTGTCAGTGCCCCGAGGTGCCACATTATACCCACAGAGCACAGGGTCCTTTGGAGCTGCCCTCCCAAAGGGCCAGTGCCAGTGGGCAGAGCTGGCCAAGCTCACCAGCCCAGGGACCAGCACCATCACCAGCTGCTCCTGGCCACCATCCCCATGGGTTGGCCAGTGGCCACCTTGTGTCACCTGTGGGCGCCTTGGAGGGCCTTAGCCTTAGCCTGTACCCTGTCCAGCTCACCCAGGCCACCCCCAAGGGACGGTTTTGGGGTGCCACTGTGTCCAGTGCCAGCCCTCCCTGTGGTGCTGTGCTGGAGCAGGAGGCAAGTCTGTCCCTGCCCCTTGTCTGCGTGTCCCCAGCCCACGGGGGACAGGCCGGAGTGGCGTGTCCTTTGAACGGGCTCCAGCAGTAACAGGTGCTGGGAAAGGCGAAGTGGGCCGGCTCCCGCTGCTGTAAAGGATCCTCCTCTGCCCGGCTAATCCGGCTCCGTTACAGCCGCGGTAAAGAGGCTGCTCCCCGCGGCGCCGCCACAGTGCGGATGCTGCCCCCCTGACCACCCGCTGCACAGGACCCAGGTAACGGGGCCGGGGGGTCTCCACGGCTGCTGACTTGGGGCGTGGTGGTTGGGGTTCCTGCGGACAGTGGAGCCCCCAGCCCCGGCAGGCACACCTCCATGCCCACGGGCTCCCTGCGCTGAGCTGTGGGATGTGGGAATGCTCTCCAGGGACTGCTCTGCTACACCTCTTGTTCCAGCAGACCAGCAAGCAACTTCCCTGTTACTGGGATGGTCGCTGCTGGGTTTATTCTGGGGCTGGGCTGTCCCGGGCTCTGTCCCTGGTTGCACAGGGTGTTTTGGGACAGGGTGAGGAAAGACGACCGAGCACAGGAGGGCAATGGAGCCCAGGGCAGAACAGCGCAGGGGATTTGGGGATCAGGTGCTGGGCTGGAGGCCAATGCAGGTACAGGCACCAACAGGTCCCCTTGGTGGAGCTGGTTACCCCTGGGCAGGGGGCGAGCAGCACTGGCGGCTGCTGGGTGAGGGGGTCAGGGTGCCCCTGAGCAGACGGGGTTTGCCAGCATGGCTGGAGCTCCTGTGTGCTTCAGGGACAGCAATGGTGGGGCCGTGCCGGCAATGCTCACCTCTCCTGATCCCCACTGCCAGCCCGGGGCCAGAGCCGCTGTCTCCTGCCCTGCCACGGTGGGACGTGGCCTTAAATTGTCGCCCCGGCCGCGCCGCGCTGTTTGCACGCCGGGGGTCCCGGTGACAGGTGCGGGGTCAGGCCATCGATCAGTCACCGGGGGGGAGATATCGGGGCACAATGGGACGGTGCCGGCGCTGCTGGCCACGAGGGGTCCCTGGCTCGGTGCCACCAGCCCGGGAGCCGCCGGCTGGGGCACAGCTCCCGGCTGCATGGCAGCAGCACAGCTCATCCCGGCAGCAGCAGAGCCGCTGCCCGGGTCCTGCCGTCCCCTCGTGTCCGGCGAGCCCTCAGCTGCCGCTTTCTCTCCCGCAGGAGCCCCGCCGAACCGGGAGCACCGCAGGGCAGCCGCCTCTGCCGGGAGTGTCCCATGGAGCAGGGGGGAGGCGCGGGTGGTGCCGACACCGGGGGGACCGGAGGCACGGCCCCCCCCGAAACCGAGGGCAGCGCAGCACCAGCAGCCCCCCAGGCTGCCCAGCCCCAGGGGGGGACAGCGCCAGCCGCCACCGTGGCACAGGACACAGGCACGGATGAGCCTGGGCAGGAGAAGGCTGGAGGAGGAACGACAGAGCCGGGGCAGCAGACAGCCCTGGCTGCTCCAGAGCTCCAGGATGGACGGGAAGCAGCTCCAGGAGAGGAGGCTTCGGCTGTGCAGCGTGATGGAGGACTGGCAGCATCTGATGGAGGGCAGACAGCATCCCCTGAGGAGAAGGTGACACCTGCCACTGAGGCCCAGGGTGTAGGGAAGGATGAGAAAGAGAGGCCTGGGAAGAAGAAAGATCCAGCTGCAGGGGAGGTCAAAGGAGGAAAGGCTTCGGATACTGCAAAGGCTGAGGATGGAGGGAAGGATGAGCCTGTGGAGGGGAATGGCCTGGCTGTAACTGAGGCACAGGATGGAGGAAAGGACAAGCCCAAGAAGGAGGAAGCACCTGGTGGGTCACAGGCTGAGAGTGGTGGAAAAGCAGAGTCCACTGAGGAGAAGGCTCTGGCTGCAGCAAACTCTGAAGGAAGGAAGGCAAAACCTGTGGAGGAGACAGCCTTGGCTGCAGGTCAGGCTCAGGATGGAGGCAAAGGAGAGCCTGCAAAGGAGAAAATCACAGTGGCTGCAAAACAGGAGGTCCCAGCCACTGCTAAAGCTCTGGATGAAGGGAAGCAAGATGCAAAGGCAGAGCAAGCCCCAGCTGATACCAAGCCTGCAAAGGAGAAAACCACGGCTGCTGCAAAGGAGAAGGCCCCAAATGCTGCAAAGGCTCAGAATGGGAAGAATAAGGTGGTAAAGGCAGAAAAAGCCCCAGCAGTTAAAAAGGCTCCAGATGGAGGCAAAGAGGAGCCCACAAAGGAGAAGCCTCCAGCTGTAGTGAAGGAGAAAGCCATAATTCCTGCAAAGGAGAAAGCCCCAGATACTGCTAAGGCTCAGGATGGAGAGAAGGCAGCAGCAAAGGCAGAGAAAACAACAACTGAAAAAATGGCTCAAGGTGGAGGAAAAAAAGAGCCTGAAAAGGAGAAGTCCCCAGCAGCTGTGAAGGTGCAGGATGGAGGGAAGAAAACTGCAAAGGTGGAAAACTCCACAGTTGCTTCAAAGGCTGGGGATGAAGGGAAAGAGTCTAAAAAGGAGAAGATTCCGGCTACTGCAAAGGCTCAGGATGGTGGGAAGAAAGCTGCAGAGGTGGAGCCTCCCACACCTGGAACAGAGGCTGGGGACGGGGCTGTGGAGCCCACGGAGGCAGCGGCCATGGCTGCTGTGAATGCTCAGGGTGAAGGGGAGGAAGTGTCCAAGGGGACAGAGGGACAGCCACCGACGATCCCCGAGCCCCCGCGCCCGGCTCTGCTGCAGAGCCTGAGCTGCCCGGCTGCCTGCCACAGGTACCCACACCCTGCTGGGCTGGGGGGATCCCCCTCGCTGCTCCAGGGAGCCCTGGGTCTCTGGGTGCTGGGCTCGGGAGCTGCTGCCTGCGCTCTGCTCACCTCCCACTCCTGCTTCCAGGGAGGAGCAGCCCTGGGCAGAGGTGGCAGAGATGGAGACAATAGAAGAGGAGACCACGATGGTGGAGCCAAAAGAGGGTCTGACAGAGCCTGGCTCTGGCCCACCAGCCTTGGGGGACCTGCAGCCCCTGGAGCCCCCCGGCACCCCTCTGGAGAGGACATTGCCCAGTGCCACAGGGCAGCCCCCGGATCCTGCTGGGGTGGCAGAGCAGCCTGGACCTGGGGTGCAACCATCTTTGACAGAGGCAAAGCCACCCCCCAGCCCCTACCTCACCCCCGATTTTGGGAAGGAAGACCCTTTTGAGATTTTGGGTAAGGCCATGAGGTACCTGCCTTTTCCTTTTCCCCCGGACGCTCTGTGGAGTGACAGCCTGGGAACCCCTGGCCCTGCCTGCTGCCCACACTGCCCTCCATGCTGCCAGCTCCTGTCCTTGGCTTGTCACCTGCCTGGTGGCCTCCGAGCTCCCCTTTCACTGTAAACAGGGCTAAATACGTCGCATCCCCTCCTGGCCTGCTCTGGCCACACTGACTGTGAGGAAGAGGAGCCTGGAGAGTGACAGTGACTGCCTGGCAGGGGACAGCATGTCCTCATATCCTGCACTACTGTCCTTGTGGGGCTTGGGGGCAGCGAGTGCTTGTGGGGATCCCTGTGAGGCTGGGTCCTGCTCTGGCCTGGGAAAGGCTGGCTCAGGAATATGTGCACAGGGTGCCCTGTGAGCGGGATCTGTCCTGGGATTGTGAGCAGGAGGTGGTGGCATGGAGGGGGATTGGCATGGAGAGGGTGACAGACAATGACACGGCCTGGAAAGGGTGAATGTGACATGTGGGTTGGTGGGGGTGGCTGTCATCCAGTAAGGTGGGTGCTGTGGAACTGTGTGCCATGGAGGGGAGTGGGTGCCATGGAGCAGGGTTGGTGCCATGCAGCAGGGTTGGTGCCATGCAGCAGGGCATTGCTGCGGGCAGTAGCGAGGGACCCTTCAGGGGTTGCTGCATTATCCAGTGCATCCCCAGCACACAGCCCAGCACTTGGTACCTGGCCACATCCCGCACCCACAGCCTTGGCTGGGTGCCTGTCTTCACACCAGGGCAGCTCGGGGTACCCAGAGTGGGGTCCCCTGGAAAGCAGATTCCCTTCTCACCTCACCCTTTGTCTTTGGCAGACGATGTCCCTCCGCCGCCAGCGCCCTTCGCTCACCGCACCGTCACCCTGCGCTCCGCCAGCGTCAGCCCCCAGTTCAGCCTCAGCTCCAAGGACATCCTGGGGGGGTAAGGAGGGGGCCCAGTGCTTCTCCTGGCACTGTCCCAAGCTGCCCTCCAGCCTTGGGCAGTGGCCTTGCATTGGTGGGACTCCTCTGGTCATGATGGGTGGGTGTCTTGGGCAGTGCAGAGCAGCAGCACAGTGCGGTGTGAGGGTCCTCAGCAGCCTGGGTGGATGATGGTGAGGGCACTTCTCCCTCTCTCCCTTCCTCCTTCCTTCCACAGGGGCAAGTTTGGTGAAGTTCACACGTGCACAGAGAAGGAGACGGGGCTCAAGCTGGCAGCCAAAGTGATCCGGAAGCAGGGAGCAAAGGACAAGGTCTGAACGACGCCGGGCAGGTGGTGGCAGTGTTACACTCCGTGTGCCCCTGGTGTGGGGACACAGCCTGTCCCAGCGGCACAGCCAGGGCTGACACCCCATCTGGGGCTCCTTCTGCAGGAGATGGTGCTGCTGGAGATCGATGTGATGAACCAGCTGAACCACCACAATCTCATCCAGCTCTACGATGCCATCGAAACGCCGCGGGAGATCATCCTCTTCATGGAATTGTGAGTGCCTGTGCCTACCTTGGGGCTGTCCAACCCCAAAATGCTACATCCCACTCTGGCTCTGCTCAGCACCCCTGGAGCTGGGCCAGAGCCCTCAAGAGGGCAAGGAGCTCTACAGGAGGACAGCTTGGGGCAGGGAGTCCCCCCAAAGTGACCCCATGTCCATCCCCATGCAGCGTGGAGGGTGGTGAGCTCTTTGAGCGGATCATCGACGACGACTACCACCTGACAGAGGTGGACTGCATGGTGTTTGTCCGGCAGATCTGCGAGGGCATCCGCTTCATGCACCACATGGGCGTGCTCCACCTCGACCTCAAGGTGCGTGGCTGGGGGTGACAGTGGCAGGGGTGACAGGAGGACACTGGCCAGCTGTGGCAGGGATGCCTGTGGGTCAGCATTGCTCTGCTGTGGGTCAGCTGCAGGACCCACGGGCTGCTGGATCTGTGCAGTGGGGATGTCCTGTCTTGGTGGTGGGGCAATGGTCACCCTGTCCCCACAGCCTGAGAACATCCTCTGTGTCTCTGCCACCGGGCATATGGTGAAGATCATCGACTTTGGGCTGGCTCGAAGGTGAGGTTTTCTTTCAGCTGTCTCTCCTGCCTGTTCCCCTTCCACCCTTCATCTCCATGAGCCTTTGGGTACCAGGACCTGCTCTAGGCCATTATTTTGGCCATGGCACTCCCTGGCTAGCTGGCATCTGCTGAGAGAGGGGCAGTGGTTTGGGGGAGCAGCCTGTCCCCCTTCTGCTGACTTGCACCCCTCCTCGGCTGCAGGTACAATCCCAATGAGAAGCTGAAAGTGAACTTTGGCACCCCTGAATTCCTCTCCCCTGAGGTGGTCAACTACGAGCAGGTCTCCTACACCACAGACATGTGGAGCATGGGTGTCATCACCTACATGCTGTAAGTCAGGGCTGGGCAGGGGCTGCCCGTGCCATCTGGGGAGCTGTGGTGCTGGGGCACAGCTCCCGTGGGTGCAGAGCTGTCCCCAGGCACCTGGCTGCTCGGTGGCAGGTGGGGGGTCCTGGATGGGGAGATGGCTGTGTGGGGCTGGGGGCAGGAGAAGCTCAGTGTGGCTGCAGGCAGGACGGTGGCAGCACATCCCTGGAACATCCCTGGCCACACTGGTTCTGTTCCAGGGGGTGTGGGAGGTGCTGAAGCCTGAGAGCACCTGACTCCTCACCTCTCTGCACCCCCAGGCTCAGCGGCCTCTCCCCCTTCTTGGGTGACGATGACACCGAGACACTCAACAACGTCCTGGCTGCCAACTGGTACTTCGATGAGGAGACCTTTGAGAGTGTCTCCAATGAGGCCAAGGACTTCGTCTCCAACCTCATCATCAAGGATAAGAGGTGTGAGGCTGGCAGTGGCCGTGGGCTCCTGGGATGGGCATCCCCAGAGCTGGCCCAGGTACCACATGCTGCCTCTTCACCAGGGCCAGCAGCATCCCCTGGGTCCAGGACTGAATTAACCCCATGGGGTTCTGCCCCACTCTGATTGTCCCCAACAGAACCCTGTACCCCTGCAGGGACACCTGTCACAAGCAGGATGTGCTGGACCTCTCAGAGTCCTGCCCAGTCCCTGGGCACATCCTCCCATCTGGTTCTTCCATGCAGGGTTATGGGGTTTTGGGGCTCTGGAGTGGCTGCAGAGGGGGGTGGTTGGGGGTGAGGGGCTTGGCAGGGTTGACGTGGGCTCGTCTTTCCCCCAGTGCCCGGATGAGTGCTGACAAGTGCCTGCAGCATCCCTGGCTCAATAACCTGGCAGAAAAGGCCAAACGCTCCAACCGGCGCCTCAAGTCCCAAGTGCTGCTCAAGAAATACGTCATGAGGCGGCGCTGGAAGGTGCGGGGTCCAGCAAGGGCGTGAGGGTCACAGCTTCTGAGGGGGCTGGGAGGGGGCTGCCAGGCTCTGCCTGTCCTGGTGGATGGCATCTGGAGCAAGGAGAATGGCTCCATCTCACTGTGCTGCTGGCAGCTGGGACACAGGGCTGGGGACCCTTGAGCGTGGACGCCCCTGAGGTAACACCCCCATCAAGCACAGGTCCCTTTGTCATGGTTACTCCTGAGCCGATCCCAAGTGCAGGTTTTAGGGGCAGGAGCAGTGTCAGACCCCAGAGCGGGGTCTGGTTCAACCTTCAGTGGCACAGCCTTGCCAGAGGATGAGAACCTTTCCTCTTCCCTTTTACAGAAAAATTTCATCGGAGTGTGCGCTGCCAACCGCTTCAGGAAGATCACCAGCTCAGGGTCCCTGACAGCGCTGGGCATCTGAGCTGGGCTCCCAGGGGAGCTGAGGCCAGAAAGGAACCACTTGAGAGGGACCCCCACCCGTCTGGAGCAGCTGTGTCGAGCTGGTCCCACTGTGCCCAGGACCACATCACTGCTCAGTCTCAGACCGTGAGGCTGCTCCGGGGTGAAGGTTTCTGATCTCAGCTCTGGCCCTGCCCTGGCTGCGTGATGCCCGACCTGCAGCATCGCTGCTCTGCTCACGCTTCCTTCTCGTGCCCTCGGGGGAGGAGCAAGGCCATTCCGGGGTGATCCCGCTGCCTCGGCCACCTGGTGCTTGCTGCTTTTGGACTCAAATGTGCCCTCTCTGCCTGTAAATGCCGCAGCCCTGCCTGCCTTCACTGCCGCTGGCCCCTGCACTGCCCGACCTCCCTTCCCAGCTCTGTGGCTCGGCGATGATGCTGGAGGGCACCGCGGACCCTCACCCCCGTGCTTTGGCACCGGAGCCGGGGCTCAAGCACCTCCTCCTGGCCAGCTGGGCATGTGGGAGCGGAGCTGGCCCCGAGCTGCTGCTCGCACAGGAAGGGAGGAAGCAGCAAGCGCGCTTCCAGCGGCCTCCCCAGCTGGGAGCCAACGAGGAAAGAAGGAGGCTTTGTGTTCTTCCTGCCCTCCCTGCCCTTCGGTTCTGCCAGCGGGGGGAAAAACACAACCTCTGCTTCACCCGTCGCGGCAGATCGCGGTGAGCGAGGCGGGCTAATGCAGAGCAGCTGGTGCTCGCTCCCCGCTCCGGCCGGCACCGCTCACCCGACCACCAAGGCAGCGGAACTGCTCCCCCGCGCCGTGCGGGGGCTCCGCGGGACCGGCCGGGATCGGGGACCGGGGCGCTGCCCCAGCTCCCGCGCCTTGTCCCCATCCCCGTCCTCTCTGCCTGCACGCCTTGGGCCTCCCCGCTGCTGCCAGAGGATGGGCATCCCCTGGGGTTTGCAGCATCCAGCCTTGCAGGAGGGGATGGGAGTTGGCAAGCAGTCCCCCAGCTTTGGCTTTTGCCATGGCTAAGCTCCCCCAAGCCAAGGCTGTGTGTTTGCTCTGGAGCTGCCTCTGCCCTCTGTGCCTGCTGGAAAAACATTGGAGAGAGACATGGGGAATCATTGCTGCTCACCCCACACTGGCTGCAGCAGGGGAGGGGGCTTCAGGCTTGTCCCCATGGGGCAGCAGCCACAGCTGGTGGAACCCTGCCTCAGATTGGAGCCCTCCACAGTGCTCACCTTCTTGTAAATAAATGTACAGGTCTGCCACAGCCCACACCTGCCACGCTGGGGCTGGGGAGGCCTTATTCCCACCTGTGGGGCCTGACAGTCGCAGGATGAGTGAGATGAGGATGGGAGGCAGAATCTCATCTCTGGTAGAGGGAATGGGTCCAGGCTGTGCCGTGGACAGGGACCACCTGGTACGTCCTGGGCAGGGCTGTGCAGGCATAGTGCCAAGATTTCTGGTCTACACACCCAACAGCTCTGAGCACCCCAGGGGATGGGGGAAGGGAAAATGACTGGATGGATGGGTGGATGGATCAGCTGTCAGTCAGATGTGTCCTCACATCTTCAGCATCTGCCCCTGTCGGGTGGGATGCCCAGGCAAGGGCGGGAGGGAACTGGTGCTCCTTTGCCCAGGGGAGCTGTGGCTGGCCCTGAAGTGGTTAAGGCTGCCAGAGCCCGGACTCCGGCCGCAGGCGTCCCTCCCAGCCGCTTCCTGCCGGCAGCCTTTGACCGGTTCCTGTCGGTGACCACCCCGCAGGCCTGGACGCCAGCGCAGCCCCATCTGGTTTGAGTTACGCTCCACGGCGGTGACGTCTCCTTCCTGCCTGGCCCCAGGAGCCGCGCGTCGCCCGCTCCCGGCCCTGGCCCCGGACGGCCACAGGGCCCTGCTGTGGGGTGGCCACGGGGCTTCCAGATGGACCGTCAGCCCTGGATATTCCTGGCACCCTGAGCTGCTGTAGGGGATCAGCTCCTGAGCACTGCCCTGTGCCTGCCTGTCTGCAGCAGGGGGATGCACAGACACCAGCACATCCCAGGGTGTGGGACCCCTACTCCACAGCCCAGTTTGGTTTCTCCAGTCCTCTCCTTCCTACCCTGGGACCCTACAGAGACACACACTGGGGCTGGGTGAATGGGGCCACAGGGCTGACACCCATGGAAGTAGCTGTGATCCCATCCTGTGCTCCCAGCTGACAGCTCATGAGTCCCTGAAGCTGCTTGGAGTGGTCAGGTCCCACTGGGGCCGAATGCTCCTGGTCCAGCCCAGGCCACGACAGCCAGGTCTATCAATTATGTGTGGGGTCCTCACCACCCCACAGGTGCAGGCTGGATGTGCACACGTGTGTGCTCAGCATCCATCCCCGGAGCCTGGAGCAGCACATTCCCCATGCACCCTGTCCCTGCGGCACCCACCCTGCGTGCACAAACAAGGATCCCCGCAGGCGGTGCAGGGAGGCAAGGGGAGCGGGCAGACCTCCGGCGCTGGCAGCACCGCCGGCAGCGGCAGCAGGTTCGCCCCTGACCGGGTGCAGCAAATCCCGGCCACGGCACGGCCCAGGATGGGAGCGGGCGGGGGATCAGGCCACCCACAGCGAGCCGGGAGCGAGCCAGGGAGGAGGCAGAGCTGGGAGAACAGCGGCTCCATGACCGGCAGCCGGGGCGAGAGCGGGAAAGGGGAGCACGGGGAGAGCGCATGGCTCCGATCTGCGCTCCCGGGCAGTGCAGGACAGCAGTGCCCATCCCTGCTGCAGCTTGGGGAACAGCGGGATGCTCCCAGCACAGGGACCCCATCTCGGGCACAGCATGGGGCCGGGGCCCTGCGTTCCCAGCCGCGGCGGGCGATGGGCCCGGCCACGCTGCGTGGGAACCAGACGGCCCCGGGCACGGCTGCGGCGCTCGCTTCCTCCCGCGCCCCCGGGGACCGTGCGAAGGAGGGGGCTGAGGTCAGCCGCGCTCGCCGCCGGCCGCTCCGGAGACGCCAGCATGATGTAGGCGCTCAAATATTGTTTTCCACTGGGTAGGGGAAAAAAAAGGGAGTAAAGAGAGGCCCAGCAGGGCTGAGTGGCGGTCCCCGATGATGAAGGGCGGCCCCCCTGCTCTGCCCGGGGCTGGGACACAGCCATGGCCCAGCAGCAGCCGTCTGGGGGCTGATAAGGGAGCTGGCGTGGCCGCGGTGCTCCCGGTCCCCGAGTGACGGCAGTGTTCCTCCGTGCCCGCACGGCCCCCGCAGAGACCCCCGAGACTGGCCAAACTGGAGTCCCCCTGGCCTTGGGGAGCTGGGGGGACTTTGACACAAATTTGGTTCTCACATCAGCACAGAGAGCCCCTGCCAGCCCTGTGTCTATCCTGGGGCTGGCTGTGCCATGGGATCTGGATGTTGCTGCTCCTGGGGAGCTCCCTCGCCCAGCCTGGGGTTGGCAGGATGGGGGGTGCAAGCACAGCCCCCACTTTTCCAGCATCACTCTGGACCCATTCCAGTGCTCAGAGGTGCTGACTCAGGTGTCCCAGTGCTGTGTGGGAAGGAGCCAGTGGCCAGGTCCCATCCTGGGGCTGTGTGGGACCCTGCCCACTCCAGTGTCCCTCAGTTGGGCCAGTTGGGGCACATCCCTGTGCCCAGCCCAGTGTGAACAGCGGTGACTCAGCTGGTGCCTCTTCACTGGCAGCCACCCTGCGTGATTCAGGTCGGAGGAATCCACTTTCCTGGCTGTTCCCATCAGAGCTGCAGCCCCTGGCACAGCCCATCTTTGGGGCTGCCCTGGTCTCAGAGTCTGCAGGGACTAGTTGGAATTCCAGCCAAGCACTGACACAGCTACAAGCAAGGACAGAGAGGGGAGGGAGCCCTGTCCCCCCACAGTAGAGCCTCCACACTGTGCCACAACCTCTGGGTCTCTCTGGGGCAACATGGGTCCATTTACAGGGCCACACACTGAGGCTGGCGCCACCTGTGCCACATGTGACATCCTGTGAAAAAACAGGAACCTGGGAGGGGTCCCAGGCCCAGGGAGGTGACAGTGGGGCTCCGCTGGGGGATAACTTCTGCTGCAGCACATCCCCCTGACCCCCAGGGGCAAAGTTCCCCCTTCCCATGAGATGGCACTTCAGGGACTCCTGGCCCCACACTGTGGCCAGACCTTGTCCCCAGCATCTCCCTGGGACGCAGGACCTGGGTGTAGGTGCCCTGACCCAGGCCATGCCCCATCCCCACGTGCCCTCACCATCCAGTCAGTGATCACTGACGGAGGGACTGGTGGGGATGGTGGCTGTGCCAGGTGGCCTTGGGCACATGTGTCCCCCAGCCAGCACCTTGGGCTGAGGGTCCCCAGCTTGCCCCTGCCCACTGCCCACCTCGAATGGGGCACAGAGACCACAGAGGCAGCGTTGGGGAATGTGCTTTATTAGGCGCTGGGTTGTCCCGGGGTGGGGAGTCCCTCACTCGAAGAAGAACATGCCGGGTGTCCGGTAGAGGCAGGGGGGCAGCCCCAGGGGGTACCCGTTACCCCCCTGCAGTGGGATCGTGGTCCCCGGCCCCCACGGCTCCTTCTGCTCACCTGCCCGTGGCCCCATGGCCCCGAAGGCTGGCTGGCGGGGGGCGCTGGGGGCCTGGGGGGCTGCAGCCAGGAGATGCTCCAGCGCTGTGCCGCAGGGCCGCTCCTTCACGCAGAAGCTCAGCGCCTGCACCCGGCACTGATAGCTGCTGCCCAGCGCCTCGGGGCCCGGCCGGCTGAAGGAGCCGAACACGGGCAGGTGGGGCTGCGTGTAGCCCTCTCCCTCCAGGAAGCAGGATGGGGAGGGCTTGCCCGTGCCCAGGAGGTTGCCAGGGAATGCCGGTGCCACCTGCCCGAACGGCTGACACGGCCCCAACCCAGGGGCAGCCAGCTCCTTGCCCTCCAGCTGCTCTGGGGGGGTGTCTGGGGTGGCCGGCGAGTCTTGCGGGGGGTCCCTGTGCTGGGTGGGCAGCAGGGCGGGCAGCAGGGCAGGGTGCTGGTGCTGGGCCGGGCGCTCGCTGGGCAGTGGGTACTGACCTGGCCGGGGCAGCTGCAGCGCCGCCGGGAGCCCCCCGAAGGCAGTCTCCTTGGGCGGGCGACTCTCGGGGGGCGTGAGGAACGGCCCCTTGGGCTGTGCCACGTCCGGCAGGTACAGGCAGGGCTGCCTGGCCTTGGGCGGCTGACGCCGGGCCCAGGGCTCAGCACACCCCGGCACGCCGGCACCGTCGGAGAGAGCGGCAGGGCTCGGCAGGCGTCCGGTGGCCGACGGCGAGCTGTAGCCCCCCTCTGCCTTCCCCTCCTCCGGCAGCGGGGCGGCGGGCAGCCCTTGTGCCTGCTGTCGGGGGGTCTTCCTGAGCCCCTCGTCCCCCTCAGTGCCTGGTGCATCCCGGACACCCTTCTTCCTGGTGAAGCGCCGGCGGCGCCGCAAGAAGCTGCCGTTCTCAAACATGTTGTAGCAGTCGGGGTCGAGGGTCCAGTAGTTGCCCTTTCCCGGCTTCTTGTCGTCACGGGGCACCTTGACGAAGCACTCGTTGAGGGAGAGGTTGTGGCGGATGCTGTTCTGCCAGCCCTGCTTGTTCTCCCGGTAGAAGGTGAAGCGGCCCATGATGTAGCGGTAGATGCCGCTGAGGGTGATGCGCTGCTCGGGCGCGCTCTGGATGGCCATGGTGATGAGGGCGATGTAGCTGTAGGGTGGCTTGGTGGCCTCAGCGCTGGGGAAGGCTCCGCCGGCCGGCTCAGGGGCCGGTGGGCTGCGCAGCGCCGCGTCGCCGACGGGGAGGTCCGGCTGCATCCTCCCTGCCGGCCCCGCCGCTCCAGCTCTGCCGCTGATCCCGCTCCGCTCTGCCGCTCGGCCCCGGCACGGCCCGTTAAAACCCGCCGGCCGGCGAGGGGGCGGCGGGCCCCTCCTCTGAGGGGCCGCCCAGGGCGGAGCAGGACTCTGCCGTCCAGCACTGGTCCCTGTGGACAGACAGATGGATGCGCCGCCAAGACCTGCGGCCAGCAGCCAGTGGCCCCGGGGTTGGCACGGCTGCGGCCTCCCCAGGGCAGAGGCGGGCACAGCCCCCCGCTCCCCCAGCCCTCTTTCCCACGGAAGGTTCCCATGACCTGGTTCTCATCCTGCCCTGCTCACGGTGAGCAGCCGGGCTCTGGCTGGGGCTGGAGCAAGGCTGAGTGAGGGATGATGGCAGGGCTGAGGTGCTGCCTGCCCTCAGATCTGCCCATCTGCCCCCTGCCCACCCCAGTGCCTCAGCCCCTGCCCCCAGCCTGGCCTTGTGCTGGATCCTGTGCCAGGTCTCTCCATTGTGCCAGGTCCCTGCATTGTTCCCAAAACTCTGGGCGCAGCACAGGCCCCGGGAGCTCCATCACCTTGTTCATGAGTGTAAACTGAGACGCAGGTAGTGACTGCCTTTGGGACAGCCTTCTGTGTTGCCAGGTCATTAGAGCAGCTAACAGGCACCTTGCTGCTGCCTTCATCCCTGCCAAGGGGCTGGGACAAGGGGCAGGACAGGTCTGGAGCCAGTGCTGGGACAGAGGGTTGTCCCACACTGTGGCTGGGGCTGAGCTAGCTTTGCTCACATGAGGCTGTGTCTGGACTCAGCTTCCCCAGCCACCCGTGCTCCACTCAGACCAGCACCAGCCCCTCACCCCAGAGCCAGCCCCCAGCACCCATAGGAAAACACAACCTTTATTTTGAAGGTTTGCAACAGCGAGTCCTGGCAGCACAAGGTGCAAGGACAGAGCCAGGTCTGCCCTGGCTTGCTGAATAGGCACGCAACAAACCCCACCTGGGGGACTCCTGGGGAATAAATACAGCAATCACAGGGGCAGCAGCACCTGCCCACCCAGCTAACATCTGTCCTTGTCTGGTCCCCACACTGAGCACTCTGCCTCAGGAAATGCAGCTGGAATGGAGCCACAGGGCTCAGAGCCTCCCACTCTGAGACTTTACGGCAACTGGGCTCTCCTCTCCCACCCAGTTCAGGGCTGGCAGAGCTGTTTGAGGACATGGAGAACGTGGCTGGAGGTGCCAGGGGCACAGGGCTGGGGCAAATTGCAGAGCAGCGTCGGCCTCAAGCGCTGGGCATGATGGAAGAGCTCCCGAGCGAACACCGGCTCCACCTGCGGAGGCACAGAACGACAGAGGATGGGCACAGGTCCACGTCCCCACCCTGGTCCCTGTGCCTGGCTCAGGGGTCACCAGCCCCAGTGGGACTCACGTGAGCCATGATGAGCTTCTGGAAGGGGTGCCCAGCTCTGGTGGGGTATTCCTCCCCGAAGCACAGGTAGATCTGGTACTGAGGCAGGAGCTGCCCGTTGCTCAGGTACTCCCGCACCTCTGCAAGACAGCAGCGCTGTCAGGGGACACAGGGTCCTCACAGCCCCCGTCAGCCACACCAGGGCAGGACCTGCCCCTCTCCCTCAGGAGAGCAGAGTCCCGCAGGGACTTACGCTGTATGTACTGCTGTGTGTCCAGCAGCTTGTAAGTCCTCTCCCTCTCCAGCTTGTTGGGCCAGTTCTTGTGCGGGGCCAGTGGCCCGTTCCAGTACACCCTGCCCTGGCACTGGCGCTTCATGAAGACCCCCTCAGGTGCTACCCACAGCAGCACCCCGCGCTCCAGGTGGGGCAAGAGGCGCTCCAGCACGTTGGCCATGCAGGCCACGCGGCCGTGGCTGCTGAGCACCTGCGGTGGGGGGAATCTTATCTGCTCCATGCACGAGGGGCCGTAGAGGCGCTCGCTGTCGGCCGGCACGGCGCTGGTGGTGATGCGGCAGCCCTCGGCCGTGCGGGTGGTCACCTCCTTCACCAGCACGTCGCAGTAGTACAGGCGGATGTGGAGCCAGCAGTCTGGGGCAAAGGGAGGGTCAGTTCATGGGCAGTCTGGGCTGGTGGGGCCACCCAGGGCATTGCCTGCAGCATGACTCCTACCTGAATTGTTGATATCCTCCACAGGGAGGTAGGACTGGGGTCCGGGAAGAAGTTGGCCTTGGGTTGGGTTCCAGCCATAGAAGACTCCCCTCACAAGGCACCCTGGAGCAGGCAGAGATGAGGTGGTAAAAGGACATTCCCAAGGGCTCCCAGGCACTCTCCTGGCCCAAGCCCCTGGGCCCACACTTCCCACTGTGTTTGCTCATTGTTGGGCCTCATCATATCCCCTAAGTGTATGGCTTTGCTGGGGTAGCGTGGGAGTCCTCAGCCCCTACCTCAATCCCCACAGGTGTTGCGTGCATGAGCGACAGGAGAGCAGGATCCTGGCAGAAGTGTGCACGCCCTGCCCCCAGCCCCATCCCACCGAGAGGGACCCTCCTCACCTCGCTCAGTTGGGTGGCCAGAGATCCGGGGCTGTGGAGACACTTGGGCACTCTCCAGCACGTCCTTCTGGCTTTCCTCCTTCTTCGGACTCCTTGCAGTGCTGCCCTGGGGGTAGGAGCAGCTTTGGTGAGGGCTGAGCTGGCAGTGGGGGATCCTGAGCCAGCTCCTTCCTCTACCATGGACCCCATAAGCCAGCAGATCCCCTGCCTGGGTCTGGCAGTGCGGGGCACAGGGGACCCTCTCTGAAGCCCCGTGGGACAAATGCAGGCAGTGTGCAAGCGGGGGAGCAGCTGATGGGTGAGGGGGGGATTTGAGGGTCCCACCTTCTCCCCTGCCTGGATGGCACAGGGCAGGCTCACCTGCTGGTCCTCACTGCCAGGGGACTGTGTGTCACTGTTCTCTGCAGAGAACAAGAAAGAACCGGTGAACCCCTGGCAAACGGCAGGAACAGCCCCAGGGAAGACAGTTGGCTGTCCGGGACACCCAGAGAGGAAAAGGAGCAGGGAGGAAGGGTAATGTCTGTGGGGCACGGGGCTTGTACAGGCATGGTTCAAGTACCAACCCCACATCTGGCACAGGAGGAGGGACGGCAGGGACGTACCTGCATCACAGGCTCTGTCAGTCACGATCTGGTACACCTTGTAAGGCTCGGAGATGTCCAGCTGGCTCCTCTCGGGCACCTCCTGGAAGTCGGTGCTCTTGTTGAGGGCGCAGCGCAGCCGCGTCTTCCAGGTGGAGGGGTCGGCCTTGTCCGTCCCTTCGTGGTACTTCCCCTTGTAGATGGCCCAAGCCTGAGGGACAGAGGGTGCCCTCTGCTGTGGGGGGTGCCACAACCCGACCCCCGGCTGGGCTGTCCAAGGGGGTCCACCAGGGTGTGAGTCCACCGGGGTGGGCGGGCAGTGGGGAGCCGGGGCTGTGTCCTGGGGGACTGCGGGGAGCCGGGTGCTGCGGGGTGCAGGGGAGCACACCGGCAGCCCCGGCAGCGTGCACGGAGCTGGGCGGTGTGTGCCAGGGGTGTGCATGGAGCCAAATCCTAGCGCTGCGCACAGTCAGGTAATGGAGAGCCCTGGAGGTGCGCATGGAGCCCGGCTGCACAGAGCTGGGTGAGCGGTGCCGGGGTGCGCACGGGGCTGGGCAGTGCGGAGCCCCGAGCAACGGGGAGCCCCGGCAATGGGGAGCCCCGGGAGTGCACACGGAGCCCGGGGGCCATTCCCAGGGCCGGGTGGGGACCGCGGGGAGCCCGGGGTACCTTGAAGAGCGCAGCATCCTCCTGCTGCCGGTAATCCTGCTTGGCCGCGTGCTTCCAGGGGATGCGGAAGAGCGTTCGCTGCCGGTTCTCCCAGCGCAGCCCCGGGTACCGGCCGCTGTCGATCTGCGCGATCAGCCACTCCTTCAGCCGCATGGGCGCCCCCGGCTCCGCCATCACGGCCCGGCGGCGAAACCGAAAGCAGCTCCGGCTTTCACTTTCCCTTTCCTGGCGCACGCTGCAGGTTCTGGCTGCCCCAAGGCAGGGGGGGACGGTTCTTAAATGTTTTACTCTGCTCCACTTTTCCCCGCGCAGCAGCGTCAGACATCCGTGTTCAGGAAAAAATGATGTCGTAATTGACGGTTGCAGCAATGGGAAGAGCTGGAGCTGGTGCCTCCGGGAGGGACCCCCAAAAAAGGCATCCCCGAAGTTTCAGATCCTCACAATGTGTGCACCCATGTACACCAGTGGTGATTTTAGCCTCTTCCCGTTGTTCACTGGATCCTGCGGAGGCTCTGGGTGATTGACCCCCACCCCGGGAAGTGCCCTTTGTTAGGCAAAGGGTGAGCGCCCATTCCCGGCTCTTGCCTGGGGCTGCAGCCTTTTCCTGCCGTTCGGAACACTATGTGCAGCTCGCACTGCTGATTTACATACCGACCTGCACTAAGTGTATTTCTCAACACACGCACCCTGCACTCGCGGGAGAGGGGCAGGCACATTGCATCCACGGGAGAGAGGACAAGGCACCAGAAGGCACATGGAACTCTCCTGCACCCCTCCCAAATGCTTCCCCTAAAACTGTCAGGTCTCCCACATGCTCCCCAAAGGGGACAAAGGACTCTACTCCCTTTACTTCTTGCGTTGGGGATCCAGCTGGACACGTCCCAGCTCCAGGGACTGCGTCCTCCCATGGGACCGGCTGCTCACTCCATGGGTGTGGAGAGCTGCAGGGAGCTGTGGGAACAGCACGGGGTTTCCAGGGTGGTGTGAACAGTCACTTGTCCCTATCTCTCAAATCTCTCCTCTGCTCTAATGCTCACGTCTGCCTTGTGGAGCTCTGGATGCTGAGTCGAACGGGAAAGGGTGGGAAGGATGGATGAGCTGTGCCAAGGGCTGCCGGGACCGGGGTGGGACACATCCTGCACCAGCTCCCCATTGGCCCCCAGCGGGGCACGGGCTGAGTCACTGGCCACCCTGAGGTGACACTGGTGTTGGTTCCTCTATCACTGCTGCAGAGTTTCACGTCGCTGTGCAGGGAAACCCTGCTCCTCTGCCCGGCTGCTGGCCCCCAAGTCTCCTTTTGCAGTCACCCAGGTCTCCTTTCCTGCTCTGAGTCACCTCTGGCCGAGAGGAGAAGCAAAGTTCCTGAGAGCTACTGGGGCTGCAAAGTCTCCAAATGAATAATCAGTGGCAGAGAGCCCAGTTCTGGGCTTTCCCAGAGGATGTGAGGACAGGGCACAGCCACGTGGCACAGAGGGCACATGGGGCCACACGGGGTGTACGAGCGA